GCTGAAGGGTCAACAGGCGGGAGCTTATTTACAGAATCACTCTGGTAATAGGGACTTTGATGGTGTTCAGGTATTCCTTAGAGAAAGAAAAGAAGACGCTCACTGGTATGAGTGCTTTTGAAAATCTGTGCTATGTATGTAGTTGGCTGGATTTATCTCCATGGCTCTGATTCCTGCAGCAGTGTATGACTGATCTTTTATGGCACCTCCTATGGCAGCTTTCTTATGCTGTGTCTGCATGCTGGCTTTGGTTGGGGTAGAGTTAGTTTTCTTCATAGTAGCTATAGGGAGCTGTGTTTGGGGTTTGTGCTGGATGGTTTAGTTATTGCTGAACAGTGCTTTGCAGTCAAGGGTACGCAGAAGGGTACTGGTGGGCTTTTGGAATAGCTGCTTTCAGTACAGCTGTCTAGCTTACCTGGTTTCTCAGAGATCCATCTGTGGTGGGGTTGCTCTGGGTTGAAGACCATCAGGTGCCAATTGCTACTGTGGCAATGCACTGGTGACAATGTCTCACCAATTGATACTCCTAGTTCCTACCCATAAGTTGATTTGGCAGCTGGAGAGTCCAGGAGTGATCAGTAAGGCTCATTCACCCAGTGCAAAAAATATCTAATGGAGAGTAGAGGCTAACAGTGGACGATTGAGGCCTGAATCAAGTCACAGTGTCATTGAGTGCTGCTGTACTAGATGTGCTAAAACTTCAATAGAAACTGGAGTCAAAGGTTGCCAAATGGTATGCAGCAATTGAGACATTGTCAGTGTGTTTTTCTTGATCCCTTTGGCAGCAGAGTGCAGGACGCAGTTTGCTTTCGTATGGAGGGGCATCCAGTACACTTGGAGTCAACTGATCCAGGGGTAGAAACACAGCCCTACCGTCTGCCATGGACTGATCCAGACTGCACTGGAACAGGGTGAAACTCCAGAACACCTGCAGTATACTGATGACATGAGGAAGTGTTTGAAAAGGGGAGAAGAATAATCGAGGTTCTTGCGAAAGCTAGTTTTTCCGTAAAACAAAGTAAGGACAAGGGACCTGCACAGAAGACCCAGGTTTTGGGAATATAATAGCAAGATGGATGTCATCAGATCCCCACAGATGTGATCAACAAGATAACAGCAATGTCTCCACCAGCTAATAAAAAGAAACACAAGTTTTCTAAGTGTCCTGGGTTCAGCTACAGCAGTCATTTTTTCTCCTTCTTAGTAGCTGGTGCAGTGCTGTGTTTTTGACTTTCAGTCTGGGAACAACACTGATAACACCAATGTTTTTAGTTGTTGCTAAGTAATGTTTACTCTGACCAAGGACTTTCTCAGTCTCATGCTCTGCCAGGGAGGAGGGGAAGCCAGGAGGAAGCAGAGACAGGACACCTGACCCAAACTGGCCAAAGGGGTATTCCATACCACACCACATCACGCCCAGTATAGAAACTGGGGAGAGTTACCTGGAAGGCCCAGGTTGCTGCTCAGGTCGGGCTGGGTATCAGTCGGCGGGTGGTGAGCGGTTGTGTCCTCTCCCCTTGTTATTCCTCTTATCATTATTATTGGTAGCAGTAGT